GCTCCTCCTGCTGTGAGCCAATCGTGATGATAGGTCTTGAGAATTGCCCACGTTGTTAGTGTTCATTTTGTTTGCTTTTTTGGTTGTCTTAGAAATTTTAAATGGAGAGCTTGAAAAAAGAGCTTTTTGATCAGTTTCCCACAGACGGCGCCAGTGTTGAGGTTTATTCCCCTCAACCCGCAGGCCCAACACGTAATCTGGGGGTTTCGAATGGGTAGAAGGCAAATGAACTCACTAAATCAATGGGGTGGATTAAATGACTGTTTCCTTCAATATTATGATTACAAGCCAAAAGGCCGAACGTACTGAAGATATGCTACGTACTGCTGACGCTATTACAACTTACAATGAAATAAATGCGGCTATTTATAGTACCCCCTGGTGGTTGGGGGGCTGACATGGCCGACTGTGGGCGACATGATTCCAACTACCAAATCTCCAGCATTAAATGCACTTCCCGCCAAGATCTTGGTTTCCCGCCATAACGCGGGGGACGTCCGTCCCCTAAACCGGACTCAACTCTTTGGTGGCAACCTGGGCCCTTACGTACAGCCCACAAGACGTTCGTCCCCTGGTCCTTGGACCCTGAGGCCTGACTATGACAGGCTACACGCGTCCCCTGGCCCTTGGACCCTGAGGCCTGGCTATGACGGGCTACGTAAGTCCCCTGGCCCTTGGACCTTGAGGCCTGGCTATGGTGGGCCACGTACGTCCCTTGGTTCTTGGGCTTCAGGGGTTGATGGGCCGGTCCTGGAAGGCCATTAACCCAACAATACCGTTGGATTAGGAAATATTTTCCTAATTATGCTCAACAATTCCCTCGAGGTATCCAACCTTGAGGTAGGGGAATTATTCAGGCTTAACACTCTAAAGCTTTGTGGATGTTGGTCCGCAAACCTTTGATAACAATCTAAAACACCATCATTAACACCACAAAAAATGTACTGTTAGAGATAATATTTACACAACTCAAAAATCAAACACAACTGGATAGCATTAGATTAAGAATAGGTTACATAACACGTAGAAAAAAACGCCATTCCTTACAAATTTAGGATCAAAATAGATTACTTAGCAAGTAATCAACATCAAAAGTTTGTACCATAACCTAATCATTTTCCTTAGATATTACACAGACACCAAGAGATGTTTGTAGTGGTCCATAAAAAAACATACAAATGATGCACATATACTGTACATCAGTTCGCCAAAAACATAGTCATTTTCCACTCCTACTCCTTTTCCACTCCTTTCCGTCAACAGGAGGCTTGTCTCCTCCTCATCAAGTAGCGTGACCTGCCAAGGTTAAATGACTTTAGGCCCAAAAGTTTTATAAATTTAATGGGGTAGCAATTATTAAAAACTAAAAATCTAATCACAAAATTTTATTTAAAAAAATGATAAGACATATAAGCACTCATACTTTCTCAGGCACAGAAAACTCCTTCTTGAGCAATGTGAAATCATCTTCATCTTCCACTGCTTTTCCTTTGTTCTTGTACAAAGACACAACGGTAGGATCACAATTCATTCCGATTACACTAAATGGTGCCACACCCTTGTAGCTTATAGTTTCTCTCTTAGTCTGAACTCGAAACAACCCCTTAATTTCAACCAACACATCAATCTCAACTGGAAAATAGTAAGGTCCAACAACTTTCTGTATATTCCACAAACTTAAACATATTAAACTTTGTATATTCATTACTTATCAGCTTTAAACATTGAAACATATATTTTAGAAAACCTTCTCAATCTCTTCACGAAGAGTATTTGCGGTCTTTCCCACCAAAGCAGTGCATTCTTTGTCCCAAAACACAAATGAAGCGTGACCAGTTTCATCCATCACCCTAACATTCACCTTGTACCTGAAAATTCCCAAAACATTAGTGTATGTCTGAGTGCTAGCAGTTTGAAAACTGAATGAGAAAAAAATTATAACCTTAGAGCAACTTCTGTGGTGTTGCAAACTCCACACCTGAAACTACCACCTTGAGACACCACTTTTATATTGCACCCCTTGCAAGAAATATAGGACCAATCTCGGTAACTGTCTATTGCCAAAATCTCTCCATAGATCCAATGTTTCCCATCCTATATAAGTAAAAATACTATCAATTTGCACCTATCAGATCACATCCATAATTTTTTAATAAATTGCATATACTATATCACAACCTCTTTCATTTTCATTAGATCATCAATCGAAACCAAGTTGACTTTACCGCTTGCTACATCATCTTGATAAGTAGGGGTCACGAAACTGCCTAGGGCTAGAACATCGCTATCATCATCATTATCTGGCCCGAACCTATGTCATTTTTGTAAAGAGTTGATTACACTATAATCAACAAATTTTAGTTTAAATTCTTTAGGAATTCCTTATGTCGCTTTAAATTCCACACACTCCTCACCGTCACTATTCAGTAGCATCTTTGTCACATTAAACATGTTTGTTACACCCACACGTCCTAAAAAACATAAACTGTGAAGCATAGACATACAAACTGCATAAATATACAAACTGAAAATGTTATTTAGCTATTCACACATTCCCTGAAATTTCCTTGCACGACACAATTGAAGAATAAGAAAGATCTTCTTAGGTTTTGTCTTCAAAAAATCTACAAACTGATCCACCAAATCCTCCCATAGAGTGCAAGAAATAGTATCCCCACTACATAATAACATATATAGATAGCTTTGAACATTTAATATTACAAAAATATGAATAGATAGTTAGAAATACTTACTGAGCATCACTGAGGGTGAGATCCACCAATTGAGTTTGTCTATCGTTCTTCGTTAGTGCCTTGGGGTTTGACATCGATGTTACCTTGCCGATGACATCTAAAAATGGTCATAATTTTCATAAATGATTATTTACTTTAAATAAACATTTAATGAAACCTCATGTTTTTATGAAAAAATCACATATGACATGGATTTCATCAACCTCTTCTGCAGCTTGCAAGGCACCAATATAAATATATGTAAAGTCAAACATCCTCATTGGGAAATTGATTTTTGAAATCTCGAATGCTTCAGTTTTATAGAGAAATAATAACTTATAAGCATTCCTTGTTTTATTATAGAGAAATAATAACTTATAAAACTGATAAGCATTCCATTCACTATGCCAAACGTGCAGTCCATTCTCTAAAAGGTTAGGGTTATTTCAGAAAAGGTACTATGCCCAGCCACAAAAAATAGATGGAGATGCCTACTCCATCAAGGAATGGTAATCTTGAAGAGACATGCTAAAGCAATTGTTACCTTTAATATCTGTATATTTACGGCTGAACTGTTTACTGTAATGATGAATTCAAATTGTACAATTTTACCCTTGACAATGTAACCTTCCCAGGGGCATTCACGCAATTTCCTTTGTAATTTTACGTGGCAACTGTTCACTGTAATGATACATTACTTTTGTGCAATTTTACCCTCCACAATTTCATCTTCACAGGGGGTATTTACGTAATAACCCACACAAGAGCTCTCATGGACGGGAACATTGTTGAAAAAACAGTGTCAAAAAGATTTTGCTTTTATATTAAGATAGATTTTGTTGTTATCATTATCAATATCCTCACCATTGTCATTTTTAAGAGATTTCTAAAGTATTACAGTAGTAAACTTATGAATGAAATATATGATTAAAGTGATTATAAATATATTCTTATATTCACTGTAATAACATTTTTGAATGCAATTCAAGTATAATGACTAAAAGTTCATAAGTCACATTTTAACTATTTCCATCATTTGCAATGGAGCCAAAGATTCATTATTTTTTGGCTTGAGATTATGATGGAATAAAGCAAAATGTCTCACTAAACTGTCTGCGCTTCTTTGTTATGGAGAAGCAGTCAGTCCATGCAATTTTGGACGCGATTTTCACTATGGGTCATCCGGAAACAGTCTCTCTGTGCTTTAGTACAGTGGTAAGACTGCGTACATCCGACCCCCCTTACCCCACCGTAGATGGGAGCCTTTGCGGCACTGGGGTAAATGAAAATGATGATTAGGTATTATTTATTTTTATTATTATTACTATTTTATCATTAAACTGCTCTTTTCAGCTCCACTTTGTGTACATGGTAATTTTATACACCATATTTGTTAGATTTATGACTCCTACAAATCTCTCTTTGTTAAAAATGAGAAAGTATGATGTTTTTGAATAAAAATATTTAATATTAAATTTAAATATGTCAAATAGCTCTAGGAAAACTAAACCAAAGGATAAAAAATCAAAACACATTTTGACACTTGATCCCCGCCTAAGCTCGCATAGGCTCCAAAGGCTTACTTGGTCGTGCCACCTTGGCACGCCTTACACCTTTGAGAACACTGTTGTATACTAATAAAGAATTTTAAACATGTACGATTACTTAGCAGATTAGAACTATATATGTCATACTCAACCCATTCATTAAAAATACTAACGGATTTGAATCCGGGTCTAGATCCGGATAAATGGAATATTCCGTAAAATATAGACTCATACTTAGAGGCCGTTTGACAGCACTGTTTTTCGGCTTATCATGCTTATCAACCATATTTTTCACCAAACATGTAACTTTTACTTTTGCGCGCTGAATTGTGTAATAAGCAGAAAAAGTAAGGTTGAAGTTACTTTTCTGGCTGTATTGGCTGAAGTTACTGTAGATGATCATTTTAGCTATTTTTACATATATTTTTTCCTTTATTTTATTAATAAAATATATTTTGAAAATATTTTTTCTTAAATCAGCAGAATCAGCCATTACTGCCACTTCAGCCAGAATTTCATAAATTTCAGCAGGATCAACCAAATCAGCCGACTTTCACCCTTGGTCCAAAAGGTGGAATCTCCCACCCCAGGAGCCCCCATACCCCGACCCGACAGGATTTTTGGGAGGATAATAACGATGACTCGGCCCAATCAAGGTGACCAGCTACAGTTCCTACATCTCGATCAAAATTCACAATCTCTCTGCCTCGCTGGCATCCTCTTTACCTTCCAACTTTTGCGTTCCAAAAGGGTGGCGCCATACTTCAAGTCTACTAGTTATTTGGCACATTCGGGGTTCTTAATGACGGAGTTCATTGCTTCGTAGTTTTTATTTCATCCGCTTTTATTCCTTCTTCAATTGTTTGTAATTCAATTCACTGGACGAATTTAGGATTTAGGTTTCCAAGATAGATTTCATCAGGGACTTCTCGGGACCGAACGCTGCTCTTACGGGAACCAAGGGTATTTTGGAGGGTAATCTCTTCTTCCACCGAGCTGTTCTAGTATATTGTGCGATTTTCTAAAATGCTATCTTGCGTATCGTAATGTTGAATTTAATCCGCATAGACCTTTAAGTAGCAAAAATTGAGTAGCAACTGCAGTGCTATTTTCTAAATGTTATCTTGTATAGTTACACACATTACTGTGTGGCATTGTAGATTGAGAACTTTGGACCAGCTTCATCAATTTATTACTTACGGATGGTTCATGAGACACGTTCTGGGAAGAAAAATGAAGCTGACGAGGGTAATAATGGGAAAGGATCATATCGTTTTGGCACTGGAAAGATGAATCACCTTGGGTTGAGAAAGTCCTCTCAGGAAATGCCGTCAAGGACATGGAAGTCTAAAATACTCGAGAAGCAGCCACCACCTACTCAAAGGAGGTCTGGGAGATCTGACACACCTAGTCCTTCAAGGAACTCTAGTAGAGTTAAAAGACATATTATATCCAATTCTTCAGTAGGAAATCTCTCAGAGGGAGAGTTGGATTTATATGGCACAAAGAAGAAAGGAGAAAAATATAAGAGTGTCAAGAATTTTAATATAATGAAATCTGAGAAAGATGGCACCTCTACTGATCATAACATATCTATGAAAAGGAAGAGAATGGATGCCCGAAGTTTTAGTTCATTCTTCAAACAGCAACGAACAAGAGATGCAATACCAGGTATATAATACTCTCTCATTTTGACCCTAATACCCTATACTCCAATCTTTGTGGACTCAATATTATTTTTGTTGTTTCTGAAGCTGCTGATAAAAGTTTGTTTCTAGTTCACTCTTCCTTTGATATTTTTTAGTCGTGAAACATGAGAGTTATGGCTTTCTTTAGACCTTAGTACATTAAATATGTAATGCACTAATGTCTATAAATTATATTGCTGCTCCATGTTCCTGTATGCAACAATGGATGGTTTTATTCTGATGAAAATTCTTTGTTTCTTCCATGTAGCAACTTACGAGGTCTCAAAAAGATCAAATAAATTTCCTAGAGTTGGCAGTGATGACAATCTTGTGGAGGACAAAGTGAATGGGGTTGTTGATTGCCACCAAGAGGTTAAAAGAAAATTTGGTGAAGACCATGCTGCACTATCTGATGAAGTAGAAGATACCCTCTCTTGTTCAGAGGATTTTATCATGGGAGCTTTACATAGTCAAGACAGGGCAGGATTGCCACATGAAAAGGATATTTCTATTTCAGCAGAAGCACCATCTGCTTGTCTATCTGAAGCAGATAAATTAGAATCTTCAACAAATGGGTGCATAATCAGTGCAACCTTGGATGGAACTGAAAAACTGCTAGAGGGAGACTATGATAGAGAAACTGAAAAGATCCCAAATTTGACAGGGTCTACTACTCCTTTATGTGAACTTAATTCAATCAATAGAGAGCAAAGCAGAAAAAGGAATTCCGATAGCATCCAAACTATCTGCAAATCAGTTTCTGTGACTGCTCAATCAACGTTTGCCAGCCATGGAAAGCGTTGCTTTCCTGGGTCCTGTGGTACATGCATGAAACAGAAAAGGTAATCTTTTATGCATGTTTTACTGATAACCATTAATATAGCGATCACTTAACAATCCCTCCAACCATAAGTAAGGGAGTAAAAGTTGACTGGATTAGACAATGAGGAGAAATGTAAGAGGCCAATTGAAATTGAAGACATTTTTTCTAAAAACTTATCAGGTTTAATTTCATGAAGCTATACATTTTTGTTCATTATATACTTACTTACCTGAGCCAAAGATTCATTATTTTTGGCTTCAGATTATGATGGAATATAGCAAAATGACTCACTAAACTGTCTGCGCTTTTTTGTTATGAAGCAACAGTCAGTCCATGCAATTTTGGACGGGATTTTCACTATGGGTCATCCGGAAACAGTCTCTCTGCTTTAGTACAGGGGTAAGACTGCGTACATCCGACCCCCCTTGCTTACCTGTGTTTGAACTTGCCTGTGTTTGAACTTGCTGCTAGACTTGCAAGATAGTTCATCATTTCTTATAGTTTCTTCTGAACTTGCAGTCAATGTCACGATTCACTAAGTGTGGAGCTCTGCATGTGTCGTGCTCTTCCAAAGGACATTAGTAATAAAACTTTATACAAGGTTGGTTTGTTGTTCCATTTGATATCTGCAATGCAAGAACATGGGAAAAGTAAAGTATAAAAAAATCTGTACGGACGCATGTCACACACATCTGTTGATAGAGAGAGGTTCTATATGAAAAAAGAGCATATCTGTAATTTGCTAGTTCATTGTAAACTCATTGAAAAGGCAACCAGCATATTAAATTATTGCCAGGTTAAACAACTTTGGTGCATGGGGAATTCTGTTATTTTACTTTTACAGAAGTTCTATGTTCAGTTCTCAAGAGATGAATCTGATTTTGTTAGTACAACTCTATAACTGCTTGTTTTTTCGAATTGTAGGTGGAGTTTACTTGATATTCCAGCTTCCATCTGTCTTTATTTTATTTCACAATTTCATTGTAGGATAAAGCCATCCTTTGATATGTTAACCCGAAAACTTTTATTCCCTATTCAAAGTAAAATAAATAAATCATTCTCTGATGAATTATAATTGTTTATTCTTTTGGCATCACTTTCAACTTAGTTCATGGCATCTGTTGTGGATTCTCTTTCTGATAATTTTCTTATTGATGCACACTGCATGTTAGGATAAAGTGAGTGTTGAAGCTACTGCTAATGGGAAATCTAAAGGTGCAAACATTGTTTCTGAGGTGGATAATCTAAAAAATGCTTGTGATGTGTGCAAGCAAGATGGAAAAAGCCTGTGGGTAATCTCTTTTGTGTTCATAGCAAAACTGTTTTTCAGGGGTTAAATTGTTGCATGCACTGAAAGTTAGGGTCAGTGCTACTCATTGTGACTACATTTATGATGATGTCATAGTGCATCTGGTTTCTGTGGGTAATCTCTTGTGTTTTAGTAGTAAGATTGTCTTTCAGGGGTTAAATAATGTCACATAGTTTTAATTAGTGTCAGCTCTACTTGATGTGACTACATTTATGTTGGTCTCATAGTGCATCTGGTTCCTTCGCATTGGTGTTATTTTGGTTCCTTCAATCAATTTAGATACATTGGAACATTCAATTAAATGTTTGGCGAGGATTCTGGAACTTTCTTTTCTTTTCTTTTCTTACTATTGCATATGATTTGTACCCACCTTTCTTAACATGGGCAGTGATATGCTTTTCAGGTTATGTTCTGGTGAAGGTTGTAGGAGATGTTACCACCTCTCTTGTTTAGGGCCTCCTTTGGATGATTTTCCATCTGGAATCTGGCATTGTCTCTGGTGCGTGAAGAAAAAGATTGAATTGGGTGTCCATTCAGTATCGAAAGGAGTAGAGTCAATTTGTGATGCTAGAGAAGTGGAAATGTCAGGTTCCGAAGGTTCTTCCGGTCTGTGTCACTTCTACCCTGTTATTTTGGAATTGAAATTATGTAACCTGACTTTTTAAAACTTATTAATATTTTTCTCCTGGAATTTTAGTCCGTCTCTCTGTTTGGCATCGATATCATAGATCGATTCATGTTAGCTGACCCCAAATTCTTTTGGGATTAAGGCTTGGATGTTGTTGTTGTAGTTTTGTTCATGTTCCTGCCTTTACATTTTAGGAACCAGAAAACAGAAACAGTATCTTGTCAAGTATCAAGGTCTTGCCCATGCTCACAATCAGTGGCTACCAGAAGCTCCATTGCTTATTGAAGTGCCATCAATTCTTGCAGAGTTTAATCATAAAAGTCATGTTAGTTTCACGTTGCTTATTGTGATGTTATTCTTGTTACACGTTTTAAGCCACATGACCTTTTTGATTGGACATGCCAAACTTTTTTAGTTTACGCCTTTTAGGGGGTAAAATTGAAAAGTTAATCACATGTAATTTGTTTGTTTAATATTCATGCAAAAAGAAATTGTGTTCTATAAATTAGGACAGAAGGCATAATTAATTTAAAAAGCACAACAATTACCTTAAAGTCTTAAACAAATCAAATTTACATTTTTTTTGATTTTTTTCAAGTCACACTAGTAATAGGGGAAACTTGGATAACCTAAACTCATATCTTTTTGTTCTCCAATCAATCAGGATGTAACCTGGAATTCTGAATGGACAAAGCCTCAGCGTTTACTAAGGAAAAGGTTATTATCTTTCTCCAAGCTGCATGGGGAAAACCAAAATCTTGATGTTGGTGATAACCTAGAATGCCAATACGAGTGGCTTGTAAAGTGGAAAGGCCTTGATATTGAGGATGCAACATGGGAGTTGGAGAATGCAGATTCTCTCTGTACTTGTCATGGTCTTAGCCTCATTAGAGAATATGAGAGTTGTCAAGGAAAACAGAGTGATATACCCTCCAATCATACTGCAAATGATAATGGACTGGGACCTTCCAAGTTTCTTGAGTATTGGCTTCCTGTTCAAGTTTCCAATTTGCAGCTTGAGCAGTATTGTAATACGCTTCTCTCAAATGTCAATGCCCTGTGCTCTTACACAAAAAGAAGTGATCCTGTTGGAGTGCTTAATACAGTTCTTCTCGATCTTCGAAAGGTTTTTGTCTAACTCCTAATTAGGTGTGGGGTGCAGTTTTTGACCTTTTTGACCTTGCCATATTAGTGTCATTGTGCCAATTTAGAGTTTTAGACTTATACAGCACTTGCAAATATAAGCCCTCTCTAGTTCAACAGGTCACAAACCCCTTAAGCCCTCAACTAATGAACACTAGTATCTGTGAGATTGCCAATCTTAAGACTCATAACATGTTTGCTTAATGCTTAGGCCACTACCAACACGCAAGTCTAGTTTTGATAAGCAAATTCAAAACACTTCTAGGATATGCAATTTTTAGTAAGCTCAAAATCGTTTGTAAGGGTTATTCATTTTTATTTTTTTAAGTTCTCATTTTAAACTCTGTTGTCAGCTAAGAGCTGATTGAAATGTGCATGTAACCCATGATCAGATTTACTTTTTATCTTTATTTTTTAATGAGCTTTGTATACATTCAAAATCAGCTTGAGACCTTGAGTGATTGCGAGATAGAATATACATAATTTCATGCAGACTGGGCCTTTGTCTGCAGCATGTAGTTAATTTTTTTATGCTTATTTGAGTGTTCATCTGTTCTTCAAGTTGACAAATTATGTGCTGTTGTCACTTGTCAGTGTTGTGATCATCCGTATATTTTTGATGGATCTGTGCTACCCCTGAACAAGGGGCTTTCTCCTACTGAGATTTTGGATTTTGGAATAAAAGCAAGTGGAAAGTTGCTTCTTCTTGACAAGATGCTGTCAGAAATGAAACACAAACATCTCAGTGTAGTTATCTATTTTCAGGTATTATTCATTGTCAAGTAATTCTATGTACTAGGCTGTTGTCTTTTTGTATGCTGAAAAATTGTCAACCTACACTACCTGACAAAAGATAAATACTCATGTGTTTTGGGGTTTCCATAGGAAAAATATTCGCAATGCAAAATTATGACAACACATGCTATTTTTTGTTTGTTGTTGTTGAAACATGAATATAACTTTCCTTTCTGGCTCTACTATACAAAGTGTTTCACTATGATTTTGCTATTGAATTATTGTATGTACAAACAGAGCTCTCTTTAGTAGGCCATAAATGGGAAATTGTATTGAGGAAGGGGTTTTAGGTGGAAATAGGGAAAGTGAGTGAAATGTCAGGCTAAGGATAGCAGGTTATCACCGGGGGGGGGGGGGGGGGGGGGAGGGAGGGAGGAGGAAAGAGTAAAAGATTTAGTGGATTTCAGAATTTAAATGTGATTCCAGATTCAGTAACTCTCTTCAATTAAATATGCAGCATTAGTTAACACCATATTGGTCTGGTCTGCTTAGGCTGAGCAAGATAATAAGGCCCTAACAAGCAACATATTTATATCAGACTTATTATTAGGTGTATTTAATGGTAGAGACTAGGGTAAAAAGCCCTCAAACTACTGATGGAAATGCAATTGGACACATGAACACGAAAAAGTTTTTGGTTCACCCTCAGTTACCATGCATTGATCTTGTTGCAAAACCTTACTGTGTCAGCCCATTTATTTTCTAGGACTGACATGATGTTTAAGTTTCAAAGATAAACATCAACAAGGATACGAGTAGGAATCATGAGAGGTTAAGGTAAGCTGAAGTAAATCATTAGTTGGTATAAGGAGACAGAAGTTAACATCTCTGTGAGTTTAGGACAAGTGGAAGTAAAACATAGTATTTGGACTTCAAATTAACCACCATGGAAGATATAAAGTGAAGTGGATGAAATTGGATGGGGAACAGCTATCAGTAAGAGATTGTTTTAAGAATTTGAGATCCATTATACAGGGAAATTATGATGTTAGTAGAGATGTCACACATATAAATATTTAATTCACTTTGGCTACAATAAAAAACAATGGCAGAAATACTTTTTTGGTCATTATGTACCCTGAGGCTTAAGCCTAATGGAATAGTTTTACTCCGTTCTAATTTGATTTGCAAAGGTTGACTGGCAGAAGAATTAAGGGAGATAATAGATTAAGTTTGGCTTTACTATTTTGCCCTCTCTCCGATTAAGTATAGACATTCAAGTAAATGGAGAAAGGGTAAAAGTAAGGGTAAGTTTGTCACTTAATTCAACTTTTGATACCTTAAATAGAAATTGGAAATTCATTTTGGGACAACCAAACTGGGACGGAGTATAAGATTATATGAGTTGCTTTATCATAAAGACCGAAATGTTGGATCATGAAGAAAGATTTAATAAAAATAAGTCTGGCAGAGATATGTATGTTCACTCTTAAAGTGTTAAGACTTAAGATGAAGGCAAAGACATTCCATGCTCTATTTTCCCATAATTTCCAATGGAACCAACGACTCACTATTTTGTTGCTTGGGAATATGATGGAATAAAAAAAAATGCCCACTAAACTGTCTCCGCTTCTTTGTTATGAAGCAGCAGTCAGTTCATGCAATATTCGAAGCGACTTTCATCATGTGTCATCCGGAAACAGTCTCTTTGTGCTTTAGACATCTATTGCTTGTTATTTACAAACAAGTATTTCTGTAATTGTTTGTTGCTTCTTACTCATTTACTTTACATACTAACACACAAACTCTTCCCCAACCCCCTCTACCTATCCCTCCCTCACACACACACACCCTCTCCCTCCCCCTCTCCTTTTTGTGGCACAATATTATGTCAATGAAAATTCACTTCTTATGTATGTGCATCCATGTCTCTCCAGTGTCCTGATCTGCATGTTAATCATCATGCATATTTTTCATAACAATTGTATTTATTCATTTTAGGACTCTATTGGCCCTGTATCATCACTTGTTAACATATTGGAGGAATTTCTACGAGGAAGATTCGGAGAAGATTCTTATGAATGTGTACATACTTGTCTCCACACATCGAAGAGGCAAGCAGCTCTCAATAAGTTCATGAAGAAGGAAAGTGGACAATTTGTACTACTATTGGAGAGTCGTATTTGCAATGCAAGTATTAGATTATCATCAGTACACAGTGTAATAATATACGGTGGCGATAATAATCCACGAAATGATTTGAGGCTTATACAGAAGCTATCCTTTACGTCACTGTCTGAACCAATCAGAGTTTTCCGGCTATATTCGTGCTATACGGTGGAAGAGCAAGCACTTGTAATTGCAAAGCAAGATCCTAATGTTGATAACTTGCTGAGTTTAAACAAGAATTTGAAATGTACTCTCATGTGGGGTGCTTCGTTATTATTCAGTAGATTGGATGAGTACCATGCCAGTGTCTGCCAGGCATCAGCTTCAGATATGTCACATGAACAGTTATTTATAAATGATGTTATCAAGGAATTCTGTACTATAGTATCTCCTAACAGAGAAATGGATGCCATGCATGAGTCAGTGATCTCCAAAGTACTCAAGAGTTCAGGACCTTGCATTACAGATCTTCCATTATTTGGTGAGCAGAAAGTTAAGTATACACACGAAGAAGAGCCACAAGTATTTTGGAAAAGGCTGTTGGAAGGAAGATCTCCTCAATGGAGACATATAAGTGGTCCAACCCCGAGGAACAGAAAGAGAGTCAAATACTTTGAGAGCTCACCACGTACTCCAGAGATTAGTAGTGATGAGGCAGGGAAAAAGCGTAGGAAGATGTTGAATAGTGGTGTGGATGCTATCCCTACTTTGCCTATACCTGAAGGTGTTCAACTTGCTGCTTCAAAGGAAGGTGAATAAACTTATTTTGATAATGCAGTTTTTATATTCTTTCTGTAGCACTGATTGAAAAGTGTTGTAGAAGAGTGCTATTGCATTAATTCTTGACAAAACTTGTATGAAGCCATCTCCGGTTGGGTCAAAATATATCACTTCTTCGGTAAAAACCTGTCACTTTTATTGACATATTGTAACCACATTGTTAGTGCAAACCTATATATTTTAATGTTATCACTCCTAAAAGAAGAAAATAGGCGGAATTAATTTTCTTCTCATTTACCGAACTTAAATAGGTACAGAGAGAATCCTGGAAATCCTGGGAATTAATTGATTCCCTAGAATAAAAGGATCTACAATATCAAAAAGATAATCTACCTTAAATACAATTCTAATCAAGGCAAGAGATAATTCTACAATTCTACAATTAATTACAATTACTATGCGCCTAAAATAGATGATTCTGTCCAATAACCTAAAATAGATTATTCTGTCCAACACTCCCCCTCAAGTTGGGGCAAAAATGTCAATCATGCCCAGCTTGACTAGAAAATCTTCAAATGTTTGTTTGTATAGCCCTTTGGTCAGAATGTCTGCGAGTTGCTCTGATGTGGGAACGTAAGGTATACAAATTTCTCCTCCTTCTAGCTTTTCTTTGATGAAGAAACGATCAACTTCCACATGTTTGGTCCTGTCATGTTGGACAGGATTGTGAGCAATACTGATGGCTGACTTATTGTCACAAAACAACTTCATTGGCATTTCTGTCTTCACCTTCAGTTCATTGAGAATGCTCCTTAGCCAAATAGCTTCACAGATTCCGTGTGCCATTGCTATATACTCGGCTTCTGCACTACTTCTTGACACCACATGTTGTTTTTTACTTCTCCAGGTTACTAAATTTCCCCAAACGAATGAACAATAGACTGATGTAGATCTCCTATCGTTCGCAGCTCCTGCATAATCTGCGTCTGTGAAGACCTCAATTTTCCTACTGTGATTTTTTTTGAATAGAATACCCTTGCCGGGACTTCCCTTGAGATAGTGTAGGATTCTGTAGACAACTTTCACATGTTCTTCAGCCGGATTATGCATAAATTGACTGACTAAACTCACTGCAAAGGCTATATCAGGTCGTGTGTGAGCTAGATAGATGAGTTTTCCCACTAACTTTTGATACCGAGCCTTATCAACAGCAGCTCCGCCCTTGGACCTTCCTAACTTATGGTTAGGGTCAATAGGAGTGGAAGCAGGTTTACATCCAAGAAGACCTGTTTCCTTGAGTAAATCGAGCACATACTTTCGTTGAGACAGATCAATTCCCTTCTTTGATCTAGCTACTTCCATCCCGAGAAAGAACTTGAGTTTTCCCAAATCTTTAATTTCAAATTGCCTAGCTAGAAATAGCTTCAGTTTCTCCAGTCCTTCTTCATCATCTCCTGTCATTATAATATCATCTACATACACAATTAAGATAGCAATTTTCCCTTCGACCGTGTATTTGTAGAACAATGTATGATCAGCGTGAGCTTGACGAAATCCTTTTTCCTTTACAGCCCTTGTAAACCTTTCGAACCAAGCGCGAGGTGACTGTTTCAAGCCGTATAAAGATTTCTTCAGTCGACATACCTTTCCTGCCACACTTTCATCATCAAAATCCGGAGGTACTTGCATAAAAACTTCTTCTAACTCTCCATTAAGGAAGGCATTCTTCACATCAAACTGTAGAAGAGGCCAGTCGAGGTTAACAGCATGTGACAACAACACTCTTACTGTGTTGAGTTTAGCAACCGGGGCAAATGTCTCCTCATAGTCTAGACTGTAGGTTTGAGTGAATCCTCTAGCTACGAGTCTAGCTTTGTACCTCTCTATTGATCCATCCGAATTATACTTGATCGTGAACACCCATTTGCTGCCTACAAGATGCTTTCCTTTTGGCAGATTTGTTAACTCCCACGTTTCATTTTTTTTAAAGCTCGCATTTCTTCTAGGACAGCTTCTCTCCACTTTGGAATGCTTAGTGCTTCTTGTATCGTCCTCGGAATTTCATCATCGGTTATGCTAGTGGTAAAGGCCCTAAAGGTAGGAGATAATTGGTGATATGACACATAACGGTTTATAGGATGTTTGGTGCACTCATGAACTCCTTTCCTAAGTGCTATAGGTTCATTAAGGCTCGGATCAAGAGGTGAATTATGGTCATGGGAATCAGTCTCAACCTCAAGAATAGGATCAAGGAAATGTGGAAAAGAAGTTGTGGGAATGATGTTACCTGGAACAATACTTTGGTCAGACGGTAGGTCGGCTTGAGTTGGTACTGAATCAGTACCTTGCTTCTTTTTTCTTCTCGAGTAAACACGTAGTTCAGATTGGGGATCCACATTATTTATTATTTCAGATCCTTTGTGAGGTGTAGAAATAATAGGTATGACAGGTTCAACATCAGCTGCCCTACTTTGATTATCATAATTTGTAAGAGGAATCGGTAACACAATATTTTCCCAAAATTGGTCTCCTATTTCTTTCTCCCCCTGAAGAGAAGTTTGATCAAAAAATGGTTTGTTTTCAAAAAATGTGACATCCATACTAACTAATATCTTTCCCGAGCTTGGGTCATAACATTTATATCCTTTTTTAGTTGGTGAAACACCTAAAAAAATACACTTTATTGCCCTCGGATCTAGTTTATTTCTTTTAAGATCATGAATGTGGACAAAACTAGTGCAGCCAAATACTTTAGGTGATAAACCAGTGAAAGTCCTGTTAAGAGGATATGATAATTGTAATGTTTTAAAAGGGGTTTGATAGTTTAGCACTTTGCTGGGCATCCTATTAATTAGGTATGCAGCATGAAGTATAGCTTCTCCCCAAAAACGTTTTGGAACATTCATAGAAAACATAAGAGCTCGGGCAACCTCTAGCAGATGTCTATTTTTTCTTTCGGCAACTCCATTTTGTTGAGGTGTAATAACACAAGAACTATGATGGAGAATGCCTTGGGCTGCGAGAAACGATCCAAGAGTGCAATTAAAAAAATTCTCTACCATTATCTGTTCTAAGGACTTGTATTTGAGCTCCAAATTGTGTTTTAATCATAGAGTTAAAACTTTTGAATGTTTCTGCAGCCTCTGATTTTTCTTTAAGAAGATAAATCCAAGTGTTTCTAGTGTCATCAATAAAGGTTATGAACCATCTAGTGCCAGAAAGATTTTTAATCCTAGATGGTCCCCATATGTCACTATGAATAAGAGAGAAAGGTTTAGATGACATGTAAGGCAAAGAAGGATAAACAGAACGTTTATGTTTAGCAATTTGACAAATCTCACATTGAAATGAATTAACATCCTTATTTTTAAATAAAATAGGAACACATGGCGTAAATAACCAAAGCTAGGATGGCCTAGTCGATAGTGCCATAACATTATTTCATTCTCTAAGGATAAAAAACTAGAAGAACATGATTTCTGAACTTGTTTACTCGAGAGGATGTCAGTAACAAGATAGTAGAGTCCACCACTTTCTCTTGCACTACCAATCGTCTTCCCAGATCGTTGGTCCTGAAACACACAACCATTTGACACAAATTTTACAACACAATCAGAATCGTGAGCAAGTTTACTGACTGACACAAGGTTGCATAATAAGTTGGGCACATGTAGGACATTGTTTAAGGTAATAAACGGAGATATAATGATAGAACCTTTTCCAGCAATTGCGGATAGGGAACCATCTGCGATTTTTACCTTTTGATTACCCGAACAAGGAAAGTAATTAGAAAACATGTAGGAAGACCCAGTCATGTGATCAGTAGCCCCTGAATCAATGATCCAAGGGTTGGATTTTTCTAAACTTACACTAAGGGCGGCTGCTAAGATACCTTTTTGCGCCAGAGATGATGAAGGATGGGCTGAGATATTTGAGGTTGGGGTATTTGAAACTGATGTATATGGAGTATTGATGTTGGTATTAGCAGACCGATGAGTATTCCAGGACTGAAACAATTGTTCTAGGCTATCCTTGGTGAAGGAGAATGTGTCGCTTGATGTGTTTGCTTGATCTCCAGATGCAGCGAGGAAGCCTCCTTTGGTATTGCGTGAGACTCGGTTGGAAGGGGTGAACTCAGCTGGTTTGCCTTGAATCTTCCAGCACTTTGCCTTGATGTGCCCGATTTTGTGACAAAAATCACACACTGGCCGTTCTTGATTCTTATTAGACTGCTGCAAAGGATGTGGGGACTTGAAATTTGGTTTTGAGATCATCAGTGCAGATGTTTCAATGGGTAAAGAGGTGGATTCATCTCTGAGCATCACACGTCGACGACTCTCTTCGCGACGAACCTCAGCAAACACCTCTTGTGCACTTGGCAGTGGGTCTCGGCCAAGGAGTCTCCCTCGAACTTCATCAAGTTCTTTGTTCAGACCAGCAAGGAAGTCGAAAACTCTTTCTTTTTCAACAATTTTCCGATAGAGGGCAGCATCCTTCGGGCAGTGCCATTTATAATCACAAAACAGATCATACTCTTGCCAAAGAGTCATGATATCAGTGTAGTACTGAGTTACACTCTTCTCCCCTTGTTTCGCCTTTCCCAAATGTGTCTTGATCTCAAATAATTGCCCAGCATTCCCCAAATTTGAGTAGGTTTCCTTTAGGGCATCCCAGATGGCATTCGCGGATGGCAGAAACAAATAAGTTCTGCCAATTTCTGGTTCCATCGAGTTCACCAACCATGACATAATCATGGAATTCTCGGCCTCCCATCGTTCATATCTATCATCGTTGGGGCCTGGCTGAACTGTTGTTCCTGAGAGGTAGCCAAATTTGCCTTTACCTTGGACGAAAAGCTTGACTGACTGTGACCACGGCCCACGGGAGGAAATTACTTCCATTTAGTTTGATGGAGGTAATCGCCAGATTCTGCATAGAATCAAAAGCGATACAGGGTTTGGTTCGGGCGGAGTCACTAGTTGAGCTGGTGCTGATATCGCTCGAGTTCAGGCCTGCCATGGAAGTTGGCGATACAACTCTGATACCATAAAAGAAGAAAATAGGCGGAATTAATTTTCTTCTCATTTACCGAACTTAAATAGGTACAGAGAGAATCCTGGAAATCCTGGGAATTAATTGATTCCCTAGAATAAAAGGATCTACAATATCAAAAAGATAATCTACCTTAAATACAATTCTAATCAAGGCAAGAGATAATTCTACAATTCTACAATTAATTACAATTACTATGCGCCTAAAATAGATGATTCTGTCCAATAACCTTTAATACAATAAACAGGTAAGGTGTTTCCCGGCCAAAAAAAAATAATGTTATCACTTTAGTGAAAATGCAACACTTACTATTAACAGTATCTGTTTTATTGCAGGAGTGTCTACAACTAGATCTTCTAGCAGCCCATCGCATGTAGTTGATGTTGAACATGTGGAAAGAAAGTCTCTACTTGTTGAGCAGAAGACCCTTCACATCTTTCTAAAAGAAGCGATTACCAAAGTCTTTGAAGTGCTAAAACTTTCGGTAGCTGTCTTGCCTTCCATTTCCTTTCACTTGTCTAGGAGTTCACTCTACTTTAAAGAGGATCATGTGTTATGTATATGAATCGGAAAACATATAGTTTTTTTTTGTATTTGGAAAGCTTACATTTTTTTACCAAGATATGAGCAGTGAAACTGTGGATGTTTTTTTCCTGGCTTTAGTTATGATTGCATACTTTTGAGACAAGCATTTTGTACTTCACATTGGATCTGTTTTGTTGAAACTGGGAAGTTATCCATCTTCAGGTCTACTGTGCAAGGATTCCTTAAATAAACAGTTGACAGGTTCAATTTAGTTTTAGCATTTTCTCTGGTAATTAATTAAGTAACTCTACCATTGCAATTTGTATGAGTTAGAAACAAGTCTTAAAGGGATTAATCTTTTGTTGTGGTTTACGGTTACAGCCTGGAGTTCTTCACTTTTAGCTATAGGGTTTAGTTTTTTCTATGATAGCTTTCATCGCTAAATGTATAATAATATTATATTTGGTGCAGAATAATGTCAAATACATGGTCGGAAGACTCCTAGATTATATTATGGAGAATCTCTGTGTTTGCGGGGAACCACCAACTCTACAAGCACTGCAAGTATCACTGGTTAGGATGTATTTGCTGTCGTTTCTACTTTCAAGTAGTGTTGTACTCCCAAAATGGATGTTTGGTGTCTTAACTCATATAATGAGGCTTGACTGAAGTGATTTTCACCCTTTTTATGTTTAATTCAGTCCTATAAAACATATTTCCATCATTTCCAATGGAGCCAAAGACTCACTATTTTTTGGCTTGAGAATATGATGGAATAAAGCAAAATGGCTCACTAAACTATCTGCACTTCTTTGTTATGAAGCATCAGGCAGTCCATGCAATTTTCAATGCAATTTTCATCATGGGTCATATGGAAATAGTCTCTTTGTGCTTTAGTACAGGGGTAAGAGCCTTTGTGGCACTGGGGTAATGTCATTGTTGTCCTATAAAACATATACATACTAAAAGATACACTTAGTACACGAAAAGTTCTGTAGACCAAGATTTGATTACCTTTTTTAGAACACGCTCATTTGGACTGAAGTTCACTATTGTGGTCTAAACTAGTCTCATATGGTGTGTTTAAGTCCGTACTAGTCTGGACTGGTCTAGTATTACAGGTATTTTATTATTATCTAAGCCTGACTTCATGTGTTAAATTGTTCTAGGTCTGATTTGGCATTGTCTAGGACTAAAATAAATCCAAGTGAAGAGTTCCATATTTATAAAATTTGTACAAAATCTTGTAACGGGTATAACAAGATCTAGGACCTGTATGAGATGTGGTACCTTTTCATTATAGCTAATGTTTTTGCTGCCAACTATTGTAGGTATAAAATCATATACACTTGTACAAAATAAATAAATTCAATACATGATCCCATGAAGGATAACATTTTCCACCTCTTGCACTGTTGTGTTTTATTTTTATATGTGATCTAGGCATCTAGCCTGTGTGCAAGAATACTAATCTCCATATGGAGAGATTTTGACTTTCATGATATGTCTCAATGTCTGTGATTCTGTGTTTCGGAATTTTTTTGTCTAGTGCTTTTATCTCTGCATGTGAAGTTATTCCTATTCTTACTTAATTGTGTAATGTGGTCTCTTAGTGTAGGATGTCTGCAAAACTCTTGAAGAGAAAAGCTGAAGTGAGCAATATACTTAAGCTAACAAAAGAGCATTTGAAATTTGAATGCACTGAAGCTGAAGTAGACAAAGTCTATATGAAATTGCGCTCATCAAAGGAAGCATTTTTGCGTCACTTGGAAAAGACTGGATTCGCCTTAAAGCCATTAAAAGGGATGGAGAATGTGGCAACTGATATTATAAAGGATACGATATGCATAAGAGAAAATGTTGCACAACAAACCACAGGTTTAAAGGGTAAAGTTGTTGAGAGTGAGATGGATAAGATTATTAGGCAGGTTCAGTGCAAGTGTGACATGAGAATGTCAAGGCTCAAAGAAAAACAACAAGAGGAAATTGAGATCTTCCAGAAGGACTGCAAAGACAAGAGGATGGCTATTGAGAAATTTTACAGAATGCAGTTAATCATTACTCGTGCCATACATTGTAATACCATTATGGGAAAGAACAAAGTGAATCAATTAAATGATGAATTTGCAAGAGAATTAGCTGAACACAACTGCCTGAAGGACTTGAAATTGAATGAAATTGAAGAGAAGCATGAAAAGGAAAGGGTTGTGGAAATGCAAAAGGCTGTTGCTTGGGTTGCTAAAGCTAAACTATACTGTATCGATGGTGTAGCTGCTGAGCTGCATTCGAGCACTTCTGATTCCAGAAATGATGCTGGTGACCTTCAATGTAGTGCAGATTCTGATACTCATATATCTGATTCCAAAGATGTCTCTAGAAACCTTCAAGATATTGCTTACATCGGTAATAGCATTATTCACGTGGAAGAAGCCGATAAGAACCTTCAAGATATTGCAGATGCAAGAAAGATATCTGACTCCAGGGATAATGTTGCAAACCTTCAAGATTGTATACATGCCTATAAAAATACCACTGAAGTTGCTGCTTCTGGGAATATTGTTGGTGACCTTGAAGATAATACGTGTGTTGATATAATTAATCGTCCTTCTAATGTTTCTCCCAGAGATGACATTGGAAACATTCAAGGCGATGCTGTTGTCTATAATCCGCTAAGTGTTGTTTCTCCGTCTGGTAGTAATGTACAGGGAAATGAGCCTAATATTGTTTTGATTGATGAACCAGAGCACAGCGTGGAACCTTCTAATGTGTCAACATTTACCACATGTGTGGTCCAAAGTAAAGAATTTGTAACTAATACAAGTTCTGAAAAGCCAACAGAGACCATATCTTCTGCTTTTGAAAAGCTTACTGTAGATGAAATTTCAGTTGGTGCACATAGTGATAGTGTTTTACATGACCATATATCTGAAGACACAGTTCATGTGGTCCCATTGTTTTCTGAAAAGCTTACTGTTGACAAGATAACAGTAGGTGTTTCAGTTGGTGCACATAGTGAAGATGTTACAAGTGACCATGCATCACATGACACTGTTCATGTGGTTCAATTGACTTCCAAAGAGCATGCTGTCGATGATATTTCAGTAGATGTATATAGTGAAGAGGTTACAAGTGGCCATCCATCAGAGTGTACTGATGATGTGGTCCAATTGACTTCCGAAAAGCATAGTGTTGATGAAAATTCAGCAGATGCGTATAGTGGAAGTGCTATAAACTATCATTCATTGGAGGACACTGTGCATGTGGTCCTATTGACTTCTGAAAAGCATACCATTAATGAGATTTCAGTAGGGGCGCATAGTGAAGATGTTCTAATTGACCATCCATCAGAGGATACTGTTCCTATGATCCAATCTACTTCCAAAGAGCATCCTGTTGATGAGATTTCAGTAGGCTTGCATAGTGAAGGTGTTATAAGTGACCATCCATCAGAGGTCACTGTTCCCATGTTCACATTAACCTCTGAAAACCATGATGTCATTGACATTTCAGTAGGTGTGCATAGTGAAGACGTTACAAGTGACAATCCATCGGTGGACAATGTTCATGTCCCATTGACTTTTGAAAAACAAACTGTTGATTATATTTCAGTAAGTGCACTTAGTGAAGATGTTATCTGTGGCCATCCATCAGAGGACACTATCCCTGTGGTTCCATTGTTCTTTGAAAAGCAAATTGTTGATGAGATTTCAGTAGGTGCGCGTATAGAAGATGTTATACATGACCATAATAAAGATGCACATGTTGAAGATGTTATACATGACCATGTATTGGAAGATACTGTTCCTGTGATCCCATTGACAATTCAAAAGCATACAGCTGGTGAAATTTCAGTTAGTGTGCATAGGGAAGATGTTTTACATGGTCAATCGTCAGAAGTGCCTGATGCAAGTATAACTACCCGGGGATTGGCTGTGAATGGTTGTACACCTATTAATAAGACTGATTTCTTAAATAATGATGGAAACCAGAATGACACAGCTAATAAATCTGGAGATAATAACTCAGCATCCCAAGAGATTTTATTTGCCTTGCCCAATGTACAAACAGGTGCCTTGTCAGATGATAGCGAACTATCACAGCAAGTATGTTGATTATTGTCATTATATAGTTTAATAGTTTAATGATATTATTTCCATCATTTGCAATGGAGCCAAAGACACTATTTTTTGGCTTGGGAATACGATCAAATAGAGCAAAATGGCTCACTAAACTGTCTGCGCTTCTTTGTTTGAAGCAACAGTCAGTCCATGCAATTTTCGACACGATTTTCACTTTGGACCATCTGGAAATAGTCCCTCTGTGCTTTAGTACAGTGGTAAGACTGCATCCGACCCCCCTTACCCCCCACCATAGGTGGGGAGCCTTTGCGGCACTGGGGTAATGATGATGATGATAGTTTAATGATATTGTTAAGAACCTGCAATAGTGATCTACTGCAGGGACGATAATGTCTCAGGAAATCACAAGAGAAATATGCGGGCTGGGAAGGGATCCGTGATTACTGAAAGAATTAAAATCTTAAGTAGGAATTGATTTGAGTTCTGCCCTAGTCAAGACACACAAATATAATTCTTCCAACAGTCCTTTATTTGATAATAACGACCCTTATATGGAAGCTACTACAATAGTCTTAATTTTAACAGGAGATAAATACTACTCTCTCCGTCCCGCAAAATAGTTCCCGGTTTCCTTTTTAGGCCGTCCCAAAAAATAGTTCTCATTTCCTTTTTTGGAAAGTTTGTGTGGCTCACATTCATTTACCTTTTTCTTACTCAACCACAACCATACATTTTCACTTTATTCTCACTTTCTTAAATTTCGATCCAAGTCAATGCGGGAACTATTTTATTGGACAGAGGGAGTAATTAAGAAGTTGCCTAAAATTGTAATAGTATAGACCCACTATCTGCACATGGATCTGCATCCTGGGCTTGTTCTTGGCACTGTCATCTGTGGTATTGCTGGCCCCAGAATGTGTCAACAATTTTCCCCTCATGGACTTTGAGGTTGTCCGCAAGCTCATTGGAAATGCTGCAGTAAAATACTCCCAGGTCTCCCAGGTGGCCTCCTCGGCTAATTGTCCTACCCAGTGGACAAGTACCTCAGGCACATTCCTATAAGGAATCTGCGAAGTATGGCCATGGTTTGCAAGGTTTCTGGTTGCTCTATCAATGGAAGCAGAGTCCCCATTTGCTGGGGAAGGACCGTGGCGATTCTTTAAGAGGGAAACATGAAATACATCATGAATTTTACTGGTCTCAGGTAAAGAGAGTTGATAAGCTGCCATTCCGACGCGCGCAACCCTTGGAATAGACCATAGAATTTGGGAAGCGGTTTATGGTGACGAGAAACCACGGAGAGTTGTTGGTAGGGATGATTCCGCAACCAAACCTAGTCACCAGGCTCAAGGGAAACATCCATGCGGTGTTTGTCATATTGGGATTTCATATGAGCTTAGGCTGTTTCCAAATGACATTGAGCTGAAACCAAGAAAGCATCACGGTTATTAACTCCCGCTCCACTCCCTTCAGTTTGGACGTGCTTAGACTATAAGAGATCAACATTGGTGGGTCTCTCCCATATACCAGACGAAATGGGGTGTCGCCCAAACTGGTGTGGAAGGGGGTGTTATAGCAGAATTTTGCTTCAGGTAACCATCAATCCAACTCGTGAGGGTGTCAGTTGTGAGATAGCATATAAAGGTTTCCAAGGTGTGATTGACTACCTCCGTTTGCCCATCTCTGAGTGAAAAGTCTGCTTAGTGCCACACAAACTAAAAAGTTCACGCCAAAACTGGCCAACAAAAACCTTGTCCCGATCAGAAACTATGGATGCTCAAGAAGTTCGCGTAGGTGGAAAATTTCAAAGAAAAATGTGTTAGCCACTGAAATTGGCGTGCAAGGATGTGCCAGTAGTGAGAGTGTTTGCAACCACAAAAGCAACCCCCTCCCCCTGAACTTTTGGAAGCTCATCAATTAAGTCCATAAAGGCTTAAGTTAGCTTTTTATGGCGTGGACATGTTAGACATTCTTCAACAAACTAACTTACATAATACAAATAGTTTCATATTGGGCCAAAGAATTGTAGGTGCATAGTTATAGTGTCTTCTTGACACCCTCATGGCCCATTTCATAAAACGTGGGTGTGATGGTTGAGGTGGGATGGAGACAAATCTTATGACAAAAATAGAGAGAGCCATCACGGTATGCCTAGTCATCCTTGAGGACACTGGTTGTCAAGTGATCACGTAAGGACCTGATTTCAGGTGACGTGGCATGTTCGGTGCGTAAGTCCTCCATGATAGTTGCATATGGAATGGAGATTGCTGCAAACATTATAGGCTCATCTCGGCGGGATAAAGCATCTGCAACCACATTCAAGCGCCCTGCTTTGTACTCCATCCGGAAAGTGAACCCCATAAGCTTGCTGAACCAGTGCTATTGTGGTGATGTAGTGAGGCATTGTTCCAACATATATTTAAAACTCGAATGATAATTTTTAACTAGAAACTCTCTTCTCCTAAAGATGGGGTCACCATGATAGATCACTGGTAAATCCGACTCAAAACAGTAGAGAATTAGGAAGAATTGATAAGAAACCTTTATTGATGTAGAGAAATGTTTACTGAAGGAATACAGTACTAACAGACAATTCGAGATGCCCAGTCTCCAAAATATAAGTCCAACGAAATACAGCCTGCCTCTTAATCCTCCCCTCCCCTTCTATTTATACTACCTGTACAATTTATTATTATTATTTCTATTATTAGTCTAATAAGCCTGATTCCTATCACACCAATGGGTGATTGCTTTCACCAGACCGATTAGTTCTTGCTCATAAGCCATGAGTTTTGATTAGTTCTCGCTCATTAGTTCTCGCTCACAACAATTTGCGCATAGAAATATGCAAATGAGATGGCCCTCTTGTTGCAACACCGCTCAAAGCCACTACTGGATGCATCACATTTTACATCAAACTCCTTCGTAAAATATTAAAGTTGTACTATCCGGGCTGGAGACAAACACTGCTTGAGGTCAGTGAAGGCAGTTGGTGCTTGGCGTCGGCCAGTCGATGACTGCACTAATCTTGGATTTGTCAACCTCATCTCCCTGATTGTGGATCACATGCCCCAAGTAGTTGACATGCAGGGAGCCAAAGCTGCACTTAGAATGCTTGATGAACAAGCCATTAGTGCACAAAATCTCGAAAACAAGGTGGACACAATGGACATACTCAACCCATTACTTACTTCTACCTTCGTCCTGCTAAGCTTGTCTCATCTTTCCTTTTTATCAGTCTCGTTAAAATTGTCCATATTAAATTCGGTTATGTTTGTGTGATTCTAAATCGTTCTTAGTTTATTCTCACCTTATCAATTCAATATCAACCACATGAATTCACTTTTCTTGATAATCGCACCACCTCTTCTTGTACCAATGTTAGGGGGAAGAAGTTAGTATAACTTAAGTCGTCATCAAAGAAAACCAGTACAATCTTGCACATGTAGGGCCTAAAGATGTGTTGAGAAGCAGAAAAATAGAAATCAACGGGGTGAACCGTTGCCCAGATAATCAACGATAAAAATACCGTTGCCCAAAGCCAAAAGGCTAAACTCTAACTTTATTCCAAAAATAATCAGAATGAACCCTGGCGAGGGGTATAAATAGCCTTCTACAAGAACCCTAATCAAGCCCAAATTAATTAAATCCTAATTAAGCCCATACTAACTCTACTAAGTACTCTACTAATAATAGGCCCAAACTAAAACATAATGATAAATTTTATAATAATAAATAAAACTATAATCCCTAGCCCAGAACCGGCCCACGGAAGTGAGACCAATCCCGTTCCCGCCCCATGTTCTTCTTGCTCTCTATCAAGATGTCATCACAAGGAACTCAAAGTGATTATGATGGGTGCGGAATGCTGTTTTTTCCACATCGTTAAGGGCCATGCGGATTTGGTGGTAACCCAAGCGGAGATCCAGTTTGGTGTATAATATTTCTCCGTGTAGTTCATCCAACAACAAATCGATTACCGGAATAGGGAATTTATCTTTAACTGTCTTGGTGTTTAGTTTCCTGTAGTCCACACAGAAATGTCCCATGTCATCCAGTTTTTGATTAATTAAACTGGTGACGATAATGGAGAGCGGCTGTGATAATTATTCACTGGTCTAACATCTCCGAACACTACTTTTCAATACCATTCTTCTGAAAATAAGGACAACGGTATGGTCGAACAGTCACTGAACCCAAGCCTGGAAGTAGAGTAATAAGGTGATCATGAGTACGTCGAGGTGGGAGATGGGTGGGTTTGCGAAAGAGGTCATTAAACTTCTAAGCACAGTGTCTAGAAAAGGATTCGCCATATGCCCATATGCAATGTAACTGCCATGTGTGCATGAAGGGAATGACCTGCTTTCTGGCCTTGAATCAGAAACGTTGAAATCACTGGACGCCATAGTCACAAGATGGAGTCTAAACCATGGAGCCATTGGGGGCCAGGGATCATGTCAAACCTGGCCAATTGAAGAACATAAATATCTACTGAGAATTGTCTACCATCGACTTCAAATTCTAGATGGGGCAGGTGGTGTTTATTGGAACACGATTGCTATTAGTGACTAGTACATGGAGTGCACTATCAGATTGGACTTTTGTGTGTGGAAGTAACTGTTGGTGTAAGAAGTTATGGGGTGCTACCCGAGTCTATTAAGATGGTGATGGAGAGAAGTCATAAATGCGGACTGCGAGTTGCATGGTGGACTACCCAAACCCAGTCATAGCCAAGAGAGATAGGGATGGCTCAGCAATGTATGTATATTCATTGGTCTTCGAGAAGGATTTCCCATCGATAATCTCAATAAGATTGACCTTTTGCAACGGTCCTTGGAATCCACAGATCATCACAGTTCTAACTTTTCCTGGTGTGTGGTAGCCCCGACGCGGGATATTTTCTTAAACCTTGGCGTGGAATACCATCGGTTTAAGGATGGATCAGGCATGCTCGATGTTGCTAGTCGATTGTACTGTGCAGCTGGTACCATAAGACTATAAGAGTAGGGCGAGGTTTGGTTTCTAGGTGATCATATTTGCGGCTCACAATACGAGTCCAAATCATTGATGAGTTAAGATCAATTGTATTTTGCTACTCAACCTCCAAGTGTATCGATTCATGCAATCCCGCTGTAAAGATTTTAACTTGCATACACAAAGATACAGACTGTGCAAGCAAGCAACTGTTGAAACAACTTGATATAAGTCTCTGGATCATGTCCCTCAGTAAGATTTTCAAGGCCACCTTCAAAATTTGCGCCACATGGTGGTCCAAAGCTTTAGTGCACTTCGTATAGAACTCGGTGCTGGTGATGTCTGAAGTACTTGGATCTAGTTGATTGACCTAGAGTTGGGGTGTCCCAGTCATGTGGAACTTTGCGAGACCCACATGTCCATGATAAAGAAACATTCACAACGTTTGAGCCATGACAAGGGGTTGCTCTTACTGTCAAAATGTGGAAATTCAAGCTTGGATTAATACGTAATCTTACTTGTGCAGTGATGTAGTAATATGTAATTTCATAAATATTCTATAATATATTACTTAATTTAAAGAAATTATTATTGATAGTATAGTGCTTTACACCTTTACATAAAATTTACTTAAATGCTCATCAGAATTTCTTCTGTATTTGTATATATTTTCAAACAAGTACTTATATTTTTAATATTTTACTCCCTACGTCCCTAAATAAAGACCCCGCTTTGAATTGGGCGCATATTAAGGAAACAATATTTTCCTTTGACTTCCTAAAATACTTCTTTTATTGAGAGGTAAATTTTATTGTAGAGTACACTGTTTGACACTATTTAAAACTGGTTTGCACTGTGTTGTCATTATTATTTAAGGGTATTAGAGTAAATTGATATACATTTGTTTACCAAATAGGGAAAAGAGGCTTTATTTAGGGACATCCATAAAAAGAAAGTGAGAAGTTTATTTAGGGACGGACACTTTGACGTGTCCATTTGTGAGTGTCCCTGTATTCCTGTATCTGAGTTAGAGCAACTTAGGGTGAAACAAGCGATAATTATACAGAAGCCGTGGTTGTCGGGTGTAGGTAGTTTGGAGTGACGTACATAAGTGCACAGTGAGTGTAAGGTCGTCGGTCCATTGGTGCATATATTTAATGGTGAGGCTAATGGCGATTCACCTACACATATTTTGCATTTAAACATTTTGTAGAACACTTTAAACTGTTCTCAGACTCATTTGTTAGGTTAGAAAAAATGTTATGGGTTTGTGAATTTCTGTTTTCTACAGTTTTTGTACTTGAACATATTGGAAAGCACGTTGAAAGTGTTTTAAGACTCGTATGTTAAGTTAGAAAATGTTATGCATTCACAATTTTCTGTTCTTTAAGCTGGGAAATAATGTTTTGAACAAAGTAGCTGGATATTCCTTTTTTCATGGGAATGGGAGTAGTGCTCCTTTGCGATTGGCAGTGGGTTCAAATCCAGAAACATTCTCTTTACAGTACCAATGAGAAGGGTTATAGTCTTATACAATCACCTTCTATAATGCACATGTCCCTGAAGCAGGGATTCTTTTGGAAGTGAGGTAGTGGGCCAGTTGAGTACACCTTTTGTCATAGAATATTGTTTACCTCGGCTTGTTTTTTTTTTTTATTGGTGGTGGTGGTGGTGGGGGGGGGTATGCTTGCTCTGGCCAGTCAGAGTAAGTACCACATGATTATATATCCGACTATTTGCCTCTTGCAATGAGTGATTATATAAAAGAATGCCGTCTCAGAACTATTTTGTGATTGATGACTTGCAGGATCAGGTACCTTGTTATCAATCTTGCCAGCCTTTAGCATCTATTGAATCACAATGCAATCTTGGCAATACATCAGAATCTGAAGCTGCACCTCCCCTTTTGGATGCTGGGAGACCAGTTATGCTGTGGAGTTGTGAATCCTCACTGTCCGGAAACAGGGAGCCACAGCTACCACCTTCTGGTGGCCTCACTATTAGATCTGATCAACTTTCTCTCAATCGGGAAAACAAGGATTCACATTGCTTTGAGCCTTCTTCTAATGTGACGCTTCATCAGAGTCAAACAAATTTAGAAGCGAATAACACAAGATGGGACACTAATAGATCTGATCAACTTCCAAGTAGGGAACGACACTGCACACCTCAGATCACTATTCCCCCCCGTGAAGCGAGGGTCATTAATAGATCTGAGCAACTTCCTCTCAATAGAGAAAACAATGATTCACATTGCTCCGAGCCTTCTTCTAATGTGACACTTCATCAGAGTCAAACAGATTTACAAGTGAATAGAACAAGATCCCAGCCAGGTGGTGAACGACGCAGCATACCTCAGATTACTATTCCCCCCCGTGAAGCGAGGGTCACAAGAGATCTTCCTAACCAAGAAAATGTGCAACCTTCTAATATGACCTCTATTCCGGGACCTAATAACGTCCGAATGACTCATCTTCCCCATTTTTTGACTCCAGCAAACCCCCCAGGCGGTGTTCCATTTAATCCTCTTTCCAAGGAATTGGAAAGGTTACGTAATGAAATAGAAGTAGCCGTGAAGTCCCATGAAGACTGGGTAATGCTCTAATATATTGGGCTATGTGTGGAACTAAGAAAATAGCGAGGGAAATGGAGTACCAAGAGAAAATTGATTTATGATAATTGGGATGTTTTCACAATTTCAGCTTCAGGCTAGATAGAATTAAGACAAGAATAGACTTGAATAGCACAGATTAAACTACATCATGCCAGATTAGTCTAAGATAGTAGCAAATTGCACATAATATAAGACCAAACCAAACTTAAAGAAATTAATCTAGTAAAGAGATCAATCCAGACCAGACATAATGGCCCAATCCAGAGCAAATACCAATAGTATTTATGTCAAAGTGAAATTTACATAATGGCCCAATCTTAAAAACGAAAGTCAAATTTGATTAGAACTTTTTGAAATTTACTTTTTTATTTATTTGTCAGTTTTTGTGACAGAAATATTTAAATTGAAAGAGTTCGAACATTTATCTCAAACTGATTTCTTGAATTTTAAGAAATCGTATTTACCCCCTCCCACTCCTCTTTCCTTGGCATGTCCTCCCTGTTATCTTTACCCATCATTTTTTACTACCTTTTTTAGTGCCCCATCATTTTCCCTCTTTTTTCCTTTCTAAATCATTGCTCGCTAGTGTGTTCTCTTCCATGCTCTGCTCAGTCTTATAACATGCTTTATCTCATGTTTTACCAGAAAGTGCAGCAGAGATCTGAGTATGAGAATGAAATAAAGGAAGTGGTTGCACAAATTTGTAAAAAATATGAGGCAAAAATAATGGACGGTGAAACAGCTCTGTTAAAGAGGAAAAGTGAACTAGAATCAAATCAAAGCAAAGTTCTTGGGCACAAGATATTGGCTGAAGCTTACAGATCGAAGTGTTTGGAACCCAGGTGGTCTGCGGCGCTTCCCCAAATGCAGCAAGGTATGCTGTTATTGTTCGTATTTATTATTATTATTATTATTATTATTATTATTATTATTATTATTATTACTATTATTATCATCATTATTGTTGTTAGGGAAACGATTTAAATAGACCTTTCTACTATTTCCAATCCATCTTTAAGTCCTTATACTAAAAGTATCATATAAGTATGTTTACTTTAAAAATACAGTCAATCAAGTCATTCTAATCTGCTATAGGATTATTTTTAAAACACAACTAAAACAATTGATTAATATTATAAAATTTCATACAAATTTGAAAAATAATGTAATAATAATATAAAAAATAAAATAAGTTCAAAAATAAATAAATTATTTTAACACATTAAAATAAAAAAGTAGAAAAATGAAAACAAATAAAGTGAAAGTTAAAAAAATATAAAATTAAAATTTAATAAATTTCAAAAAGACGTAGAATAAACAAATAGTTCCAAAAATGCAAAAATATAGACTTTGACATTCTTAAACCATCCACACTTTTTATTTATATTTCTTCAAATTCTAACAAAATTTTAAAGTTTTTGATATAAAAAACTGGCTAATACAACTAGAAGTTAAAAACTAGTTAAAAACCAGATTGGTCGATTTTTTAAAGCAAGCGTACTTATATGATACTCCTTACTTTTTTTGGTACATGGGTTTAAGTGATGCATTGGAGCTGGTAGAAGGATCTATTCGTCTCTTTTACCTTTTTTTTACTCTAGGGGGTGTCTGGGGGAGGGGGCCGGGAGAGCCTGGAGTAATCTAGTCTGAAACTCACTCCATTGAGTTTCGAACCTGAGAGGCCGAGACCTCCCCGTAAGGGAGAGTGAGTCGGCGACCAGCTGGGCTGGACCGCTTCCTCCGTCTCTTTTACCTTATTATTATTACAAATATTATTAATATTAATATTATTACTACTACTGCTACTACTATTAACTAGTATTATTATTATATAATTACTCATACTTTTTGTGTTAATTATTCTATTTGCAGTTAGAAGTGAAAATACTATTTCTTCACCTGCAGCTGGACATCCTGGTTATGTACATCATGTACCAATGCTGCCCCCATTGAGAACTCCTCCTGCATTTTCTCCACATTCACTCCATACTCCTAGTCCAACAGTTTCTTCTCTTAGGCCACCACCCGGGTTTTCTTCTTCAGCTGGCCAGCACTCGATAGGTAACCACCATCATGCTTCTTCCACCCCGCATCCGTCCAGGACATATCATACTAACCCCTCACCCACCTCCAGATCCACCCCCTCCATTAATATTTCATTTTCTTCTGGCCCACTATCTGCAGTTCCCAACCAATCGCCATTTGTTGGTGACGTATCCCCTGCCCCTGGAAGTATTCGTACCCCGGCCCATCTTCAATTGTTCAGACCTATATCCCTCCCAAGTGCTGCTCCGTCTGTACCATCCCTCCCCCAGGTGCCACCTCAGCCGCCACAGGCAGTGTCTTCTCAACCACCTCAAATGACGGGACCCACCCCCCCACATCCACAACTGGCAGCTGTACATATGAACACGGAAGCCAATAGTACTGTCTTGCCTAATAACACTTCACTGCCCCCTTTACCGGAAAATGGTACCGCATTTGATTTGGTAGACCTATCTGAGCCAACAACGGGTACCTCTGCACCTCAAGTGAAAGCGGTTGCTGATGTGGTCTGTCTCTCTGATGAAGATTGACATACTCATTTGGAATATCAAGCCTGTCCCTCTAAGGGCATTGTAATGTCTCTCAGGGGTAGAATTTTTGCTGATGACATGAAATGTAAAAATCTCTCCACGATTCCATATATGTATGGAGATTTTTGTTTTGTTTTACATCTTGTTTGGCTGCGCTAGGAGGAATCCTCAATGTGTACAGTAAAATAGATTCATTATGCATTCCCAGTGACGGGCTATTGTCATTTTGTGTTCTTGGAGTATGTATGCAAGTAAGAAGCGTTCCTTTCCTCTAGTGTTAAACTAACACAAAGCTTTGAGCTGCTCACTTTTAAAATTGAAACCTCGATATCAAATCTTGATATGACATTAGAGTCAAGATCGCTGTGATTTAATTGTTTGTTTTACTTTAGTATGCTCAGGGTCTATTTGACACATAATTTTTCACATCAATATAATACTGTATAAAATAGTAACATAATACTTCCTCTGTTCCGGATGAATCTTTATGTTTGCTTTTGGCATGGTATTTTAGGATATTAATTAATAGAAGAGATAAATCCCCTTTTGCCCCTCATCTCTAATTACTCGTACAATTCCAGTAATTCTCCAACACTCCAACTGCAATCACTCCGTACATTCCAGCAATTCTCAATCAAAATTTTCATCTTCATCGAACATCTTAATTCTTAATCATATAGATTCTGGTAATTCTTCAAAAGGAAACCTTGTTCTTCCTTATTTTTTAATCTCAGCGAACACATCAATAGCTAGGTGCAAATCGCTTTTGTCAATAATCTAAACTAGGGATGGACTCGGGTCCGGGTCGGGCCTAGGCCCGGGCGGGCCGGCGGTTCAAGAATAGTGGACCCGGGACCGGCCCGGGTAGCCACCGGGTCCGGGCCGGGCTGGGCCTCCAGTTTGGATTTTTTTTTTTTTTTTTTTTTTTTTGCTTTCCTAACCCCCCCCCCCCCCCCCTCACCCCCACCCTCCCAAACCCCCCAAACCCATCAAGCCCAACCCGGGTGGAACCCCAAAAATGAAAAAAAAAATAAAAAAAATCAATTTGGCCCGGGCCCGGGCCCGACCCGGCTGGGCCGGTTCACCAAAATTGAGACCCGAGCCCGGACCCGCCCTACCCCCGGGCCTAGGCCCGACCCGGACACGGACCCGAGAACCGGGCCGGTCCCGGTCCCGCACAGTAGCGGGCCGGTCCGGTCCACGGGCCGGGTGGCCCGACCCGAGTCCAACCATAATCTAAACTCTGTTTTTCTAAAGAAATCAAATGCAGCCAACAAGTCATCAACCAAATAAGAACCCTCTCCCATCTTTTCTGCACCAAAAATTTCAAAAAAGATTTTTGAGCAAAACATGTCATTAAATTTCTCAACTCTGGTAGGGCTGCAAAAAATCCCAGATCTGTTGAATACTTTATCCCTTTCTTCACTGGCCATGCCGTTTTCGGAGTCATGGACCATCTCTTCTTTGAGGCTGCAAGGATATGTCAGAGTTCGGATACATCTGGAATGAGCCTCACCCTTGATGAATTAAAAGAATCGAAGAGTAATACGTACTGGGTTGAGGGGTACTAAATTATGGGTGGGTAAGATAATTTATAAAGCTAAGGGTAGTTAGGACAGTTTAATATAAAAAGAGTTACAAAAAAAGGAAACATAAAGATTTAAATGACACATTCCAACAAAGAAGGTGTAAAGATACAAATGAGGGCGGAGGGACTGTATATAAAGTTTTAAGTATTTAGTTATTCTTAATTTGGAGCCCCAAGTGAATCATGCTCACTTTTAAAATTGAAATATAATTTTTCACATCAATATAATACTCCGTACATCTCATTGGACTTTGTCAACTTTCCTTTTAGAAGATTCTGGTCCATAAACTTTCACAATATTTGAAAGGCTCAAGTATGTTGTTAGGACAGGTGCCCGTCCGGCCTCCTCCGTTTGGGGGTTCCCGATGGTATGTTTTTCTGAATTTTGTTTCTCATGTTCTTCAATAAGTCTAGTTTATTCATACTAAATTTCAGCTAAAAACTCAATCGGAAACGCAGTCAAATGATTTTTGGAAGATAATTGTGTTTTATATGTATATAAAGGGCGCAGTTGACTTCAACAATTTATTTGACTGCCTTCCGGATTGAATTTTTATCTAAAATTTGATATGGATAAACTAGACTTGGTGAGGAACATGCTCAAAAACTTTCATCAAAAAATTCCAACGGGAATGACCTCTGATGGCCTCGGCTGGACGGCGATTCCTGTCAGACCGACATGACAGGATCGCTACTGTCATGCCCGTGCGATGCACGGGATATATCTAGAATAAAATAACAATTTATTTAAAATTATCGCATTCTCCATGTTTTAGTTTGACAGATTTGTACGATTAAAACAACTAAACATTCTTCATATACGTTCACTATTTAGGTATTGTTTAGTATGTTCTGCCAACTATGTTCATAATGAGCACTTAATCTTCTTGCTTCTGGAATAAAAAGATCCAATGATTAAAATTCAAAATAGTTATACTTGTTTCAGTATTAGATCAATATTCAATCTTGTTGATGCTATATTATTAATTGAAACACGCCTCACGTCTTCTAAAACAATATCCATGAGTTTTTCGTTGTCCATCACTCTCTAACTCAATCCAAATCATCCTTCTCAACAATGTGTGCAATTACATCTATGTATTGTAATTTAAGTGAAATTGTTGGAGTGTTGTTTTAACATAATGCGATAATACGGAGTATATCGTAAGATCGAGACTTACTGACAAATGGCCCTTCATATTTTCAAGCCAAAATATCATTAAAGCTATGATGGATAGTGTACCCGGGGGGTAGCTTATCCGAGGGGTTATTACGAGAAATAACAAGAGAGAAGTCAGAGCAAGTAAGTATAGAGAGAGAAAGTATATTTAGTAGTATGCAGCGTTTATAACTTGGTTACAAATGGGGAAATGGGGTGCTATTTATAGTAGCAATAAATGCCGGACAGGGACACGTGTCAAGCGTCCATTGGCCGAGAGGTCACCTCAACTGGTTGGCGCTGGCAACCGCATGTGGCCGCATTTAATGCGGCTGTTGGATGGGACGTTGCACAGGGTACGGTGATCTGTACGCATGTGGCGCAGATATCATGTCGGGAAAGGTGCCCTCGGCTGTAGAGGACTAGCCGAGGGCTCTGAGTACCGGGGACCCCCTTGGTGCCGAGGGCTCCAGGTGCCGAGGGCTACTGTTTTTCACCGTTTTCCCCAGTAACTTTGTTTTGCTGTCTTGGCCCTCCTGTGAGAGTTAGAGCCTTCGGCCAGGGGGCCGAAGGCACCCCTGGTGCGCATTTGTGGACTGCTTGGTATCTTGGGCGCCGTGATTTGGGCCTGTTGTGCTTTCTGGGCATGTTGGACCTTTATTGGAGCAGTAGGAGTCTGTGGGCCGGGGGTTCCCGGGTCATATACTCCATCAGGAGTCCCTCACTCCTTTTGCCGAAAGGTACTTGAGGGAAAAGGAGTAATTGTGTTTGTCCTCTGCCGTTGTTTCGTTTGTAGCTTGTAGAGTTGTGGGTAGTTTGCTGTTTGTTTATTCTGCCGAGGGCAGTCCCTCAGTTACCCACAAGTCGGGACCTGAGGGGTCATGTTTGTGATTTTTCCCGAGGGGGTCCTCCAGTCCCCCACTCCCTGAGGCACTTGCAAAGTGGTGACAAGGAGTAGAGTAGTTGCGTTGCTGTTTTGGGCCAAAGGCTGACGCTTTTCGTTTCATTTTGGGGGGATGCCTCGTTAAAAACCTCATTAGGAAAAACCCTGTGGGAAAAAATCCTAATGAGGGAAAAAGAGTGCACCGAATGCTCCCAACGATGAATCGAAAATGTGAAACCTTGGTTCAAAATGGAGAATAATGATGATGCCGAAGGCTCTCCTTGTTCTGAGGGCTCATGTGTTGATTAGCCGGAGGCTTGTTGTTGATGTCCGGGGAGGTGCCGAAGGCGGGTCTCTCAATCTGGGGATCGAGGGCGTAGTGAATGATGGTAGTAGTTGAAGTGTTATCGGGGTGTCCCCTGCTTGCTGATTAGTTGGTGATGAGGATATCCGAGGGCTCCCATTACCTGTGTGCCGTAGGCTATCCGTCAATGAGGGATACTCCCCGGGGGCTACCCGGCCCTTACGGTGCTGAGGGGGGATCCCCGAGGGGTGGCCTGATATGAAGCCCTGGGCTTCTGAAGGAGTGATCCCGAAGGCGCCTGTTATGTACTGTGTGGGGCACAACCCGGGAGCGTCTCTGGGTAAGTGTACCCGGAGGCTTTCCTTGATGGAGTGGAGTGAAGTAAAAAACCCCGAGGCTCCCAGAATATAGCCGTTGGAAATATAGCCGTTGGAATATGTAACATCAGGATATAGCCGTTGGGGGGGGGGGGGGGTTGCCACGTGGGCGGGCGTCACCGATTGGGTGAAACCTCGGATGGTAATGATGGCAGTCCAACCGGAGGCCCAGTTTCCAGGCCCAAGCCCGGATCCCAGCGCCTATAAATACCCCAAGGCCAGGGTCATTCTCCGTTGTGCGATTTCAGTGTAGCGAAGCTCTGGCAAAAATTTTGTAGAGAGAGAAACCTGCCTTCGGTTGAATCCTCCGCTCTCAAGGTTAGTTCCCCATTGCTCTTTTCCTTCTAGTTAGCTGAGCCCTGTGCCTTTAGGCTAGGAGATAGAACCTTTTAGAAAACCCAAATACTTTCGAGCCTTCGAACCAGCGTCAAGATGTCTTCCCAAAGTGACTCCCAGGACATCTCGGGGGCGCCCTCGATGGGGGATGAAGTATTCTCGGACGTGAAGTCCACAAGCGAACAGTCCTCGGTGGGACAGGATGCCGTCGTCGCCCTGGAGCTGCAGAAAGCCCTCGTTGCTGAGGCGGAAGACGAGGGCTTCGAGCAAGAATGTGAGGATGAAGAGCTGGCCCTCGCCTGGCAAGCAGCTGAAGAAGAGGCGCAGAAAGAAGGTGCGAGGGTCACTGTTGCTGTTCTCCCCCCCTCGGGGTACCGGTGAGGCCAGCACCTCTCGGCCGCTGAACGCGGTTCCCATCCGGGTGGCACCCGGAAAAAAGAAGGCCAAGGTCGCTGCTCCCAAGAAGAAGGGCAGCGTTGCAGACCAAGGGAAGCCCCTCGATATGCCCGAGGGGTATTCATACTTGAACACCGCCGCCTTAAAGATAAGGTCGAAAGCTGATGCGACGGACATCTACGTCACTCAACTACACGTGGGCCCCTCGACCATCGTAGTAACACCGGGTCCCGATGACGTCCTCTCTCGGGCTCCCGAGGGCTGCATTGCGGTGCACATTCTCTCCGTGTCCATGGGGCTCCGCTTCCCCCTGCAGCCTTTCCTCCGGGAGTACCTCCGGTTCGTGGGTTTGGTCCCCTGCCAGCTGACCCCGAACAGTCATTCCTACATTACGGGCTTCCTCCAGCTCTGCAAGTCCCGGGGGGTGACACATAGCCTGGATCTCTTCTTCCAGAGCTTCAATCTGTGCCGGGGGGGGGGGGGGCATGCGAATGCCGAGGGCTTCGCAAACTTGCAGCAGGTGGCCCTGTTCAAGCTCTTTACTGAGGCACCCTCCTCGAACAAAGGGTGGAAAGACCGGTGGTGCTATGTGAAGCTGACCGAGAGCCCCTTCCCGAGGGAATTGCGTGACCGGTTTAGGAGGCACGAGAAGAGGAGGAGCGCCGCCCTCGAGAAAGACGGCAGGATCCTGGCCAAGATCCCGGAGGGCCGGGACAAAAATATAACCATTAAGGAATGCACCAAAGAGGAGGATCTCTACACCCTCGGGTTCAGGCGGTATCGCTTCCTGGGGGAAACAGATGAGAAGTTCCCGGTGTTTGAGGGAGCCTCCGGAGGTAGTGGCTGAGGGCACCCTCATTTTATATGTTAGCAGATAGTTCATCTGTTTGTTTGTTTCTTTTTTGTGCCATCTGTTAGTAACCCCTCGGTTTTAACCCCACACTGTTTTGCAGGTATCCCAGTCAACATGATGAACGTCAGGGGGCTCGCTGATTTGAAGAAGAAAAAGCCCTCCAAGGCCCCGAGGGGAACGGATGCTGGTGTCCTGAAACCCGCCGGTGACTTCTTCAAGAAGCCGGAGGGGCCATCGGCGGCCCCAAATACTGATGCAGCTGCCGCTGCCAAGAGGAAAGGCACGGGCAAGGCTCCCGAGAGCAAAAAGCCCAAGACCGAGGATGCCGGGAAGAAAAGCCCCCCGGTGGTCATTGTTGACGATTGCCCCGCTTCCGGGGTGCACGAGGAGATGCCGGTGGCGAAAGTGCCGGGGGGTGTCCGGGAGCCATCTTCCGAGGTCCTGACGGTCTCCCTCCCGGTTGGTATGGCCGTGATGAATGGCACGGCTGACACGAGGGCGCTTCTGAGAGGTATAACCCTCGAGATTGACAGAGCAGCCCTCGGGGATGATGATGACCAAGCCCTTGAGGACAGGATCCTCCGGTCTTCCCTCACGGTAAGTTTTTTTTTTGACAGTTTACTGTTTTTTGTTTGAGCTAGGAAA